GATTCAACCTGTCACAAGAAGACTACATTTCTCCTTGCTGAGCCACAGAGTCACTATAAAAATCATCCAATCCAACAACACTTGACTCACAAGGAAGAAAAGCTTTGGTTCAAATTCAGGGTAGAGAATATAGTAGGCTGGTCCATGGAGTTCTCTATAAGACTGGACGAACAAGACTAAAGATATTTAAGACTAATCACCGAGACGAGTTACAGTGAACACACCTTCTAAACCAATGTATCAAAGCAACACACAACCTGGATCTACTTGTTATTGAAGAGTAAAATACCATGGCTGTGGAGACCCTCGTCAACAATGTGTTGGGTTTCTTCCGAGAAAGAAACCTGAATACTTATTCATTCAACTTTAAGTCAACACAGCTGGAGAGACTCGAACCACCTGCCTAAGTCAGTGGATCAAAGGTTTTTAAAACTATTTCCTCCACACAACAACTTACAAGAAATTCACTTCCTGATCCATTATTTATTTCAACTTTCCTAAATTTTTGTTTGTACATATTTCATGGATCATAGATAAAATAATATTATAACTAAAATCCAGCGCGTGTTGCCTGTTGACACACACACTGGGGTGATTATGACCTTCCCATCCACCTTATTTTGTGAGGCTGTAATTAGTATGGGTGTAGTGGCCAAGTGGAAACAACGCTATCTTCCTATCCCAACTATAAATGGGTGCCAAACTTTATAGATAGTGAGGTGAAGGTGCCGACTACACAACCTCTCACAGACCCCCGGGACTATGGAACCCACTTTTACAGTTGTTAACGACAAAATGAAGGAGCAACAAGGTGTTATGAACAGCAATTTTAGAGATCAAAGTCTGAGGTAGATACTGTCAGTAAGTAGTACCGCGGGGAACACATTTCCTTGTTGTGTTACACCTTCCTCACCACACACATTTTCCCCTCCTCATCACACTATTCCTCTTCCCCTCACCACACACTTTCCCCTTCCCCTCACCACACATCTTCCCCTACCCCTCTCCACACACACATCCCCTCAACACACACCTTCCCCTCATCACACACCTTCCCCTCATCACACACCTTCCCCTCCCTTTCATCACATCATTCCCCTCACTTCACCATCTATATTCTAACCCTCTCAATCCTTCCTACTCTTTCTCTTCCTCTCCTCTTCCACACCCTTCATCACACACTCCTCACGTCCACCTCGCCACACAACCTCTCCCATCATCACCCTTCCTCCTTTTCCATCGCCATACTTCCACTCCTCCCTCTCACAACCACTCCTCCCTCTCACCAAGTCCTCCCTCTTCCCCGATCTCACCACACACTACCTCCTCCTCCCCACACCTCCCGCCTCGCTCACCTGTACACCACACCTGGATCTCCCGATACAATAATGAACCTTAAAACACTGGTCAAGAAAGACTACTGATTAATACAGAAGGCATTGCGGGATGAACCTTAGTGGCGCGTGTTGTGTTGTGTGGCCTTCATCAGGGGCTAACATTAATTAACCATGATTGAAGGTGAAAGGCATTACACCACCCGCATTGTCTTAAGCTTCACCTATAATGTCTTAAGCTTTACCTGCATTGTCTTAAGCTTCACCTGCATTGTCTTAAGCTTCACCTGCATTGTCTTAAGCTTCGCCTGCAATTTAATTAAGATCTCGATATATTTTTCCCTTCTGCACCGTTTGAGGATTTTGGTTGGGGTGGATTTTTTTTTCTGAGTGTTTCTGGTGTTTGAAGGATTTAAAGTGTAATCTCTGGTTGGGGATTTTTTTGTTAGACATAATCTACTTTCTTGAAGGTAAACTGTGTGTATATTTAAACTCTAGTGTTGAAGGTGTTTCTTGTGTTGTTTTTTATTTTAAATTATGATCTCTTGTGGAGGAAGCCCTATATGTAATCTCTCTGAGGAATATTTTTTAAATTAAATTAGAGAGAGAGAGAAAGAGAAAGAGAAAGAGAGAGAGAGAGAGAGAGAGATTCAACATGTTTTCTGATAAGGACGAGTTACACACTCCTCATGAAAACAAGTATCTAAGGTAATGTTCATAAGGACAAAATAACTTATTCCTGATGAAGACAATGTTAATATTATTTTCACGAGGACAATTTTTAGGAATTTTGGTGAGGACAATTGACTATGTGTAGTGGTGACCTCTTGTCCTGTCCCCTCTGACCTAACTACCCTTCCCCTTATACTTGACCTCATAACTAAACCCATTATCTGCCGTCACCTGTCTGTCCATCATGTTCACCCATTATAGAGTAGTATTAGAGGAAACACTAATTTGCATTTCTTGTTATAATTTGGTGAGGAAAAATGGCTCACCTGAATATTAGACAACTCCGCTTATTTCACCTGATGATTATACACCCAAACGTTACTTGGGGGTTAGGTTAGGTTAGGTTTGCGTTAAGGTGTTCAATCATCATGTAAAATAAGTTGGGGTGCCAAATCTTCATGTAATCCGAAAAAATATATATATTTCTAATATGTTTTCGTGTCCTACACATATTGGCAATCAAAATACGTGGCATATTGGACATCTATTCCGTTGCACTGTACCCTCCTAAATAAAGAGACCCAAACTGGACACATTCTACGCCCCAATATCGGACATGTAAACATAATATATCCTCTACATATTGGATATCCTACAAGATGTGTTCCTTTATATATATTGTATTGTAGGACATCCGACTAAGTGACATCTATATACTGGACATTAAATGGCGAAGTAAAGTGTTGCAGCACAGAGCGAGTGACTAACTGGACCACTAATTGGACACGCTTCTTGTTGACCGTATGAGTCGGCTAATAATTGGCTGCCAGGGGGTCGACTTTTACAATACGGTTCGACAATAATACATTCGTCGATGGCGCAGTCGGTCACAGGAGCCGACAAAAGGATGTTTTCAGTAACAGAACTGGACAAAATTGCGACCATTGTTTAATTAAAAAAATAAAGCATTCCTTACCAATCGTTTTAATTTTCAATAACGAAAATTAAATTAAAATTTTTCTAAGTAATTCTAATCATCAGAAAAAATAATTATGTCGAAGTTCAATAAATTTTGTTTTACCGTTAGATTGGGTTTAGTTGGTTTATGTCATCTTTGATAACTGGTTTAATGTCGGTTTGACGACTTCCAGCTGTTTACAATGTCTGTTACTTTTGGTATGGAAATAGGACAAATGTTTCTTTATATAACTTTGTGTTATATAATTGGAGTGCGGCGGTCGGGTGGTTACAGCGCTCGTATTCTGTTCCCAAGGATAGATGGTTCGATCCCAGTGCACTTCCAGTTCACCCAGCTGAAAATGGTTACCTAAGTTTACAACATGGAAGTGAATGCGGTCGAGGGCAGTACCGGCCACACTGACTCCTTGTGTACCAAAGGCTTAGTTTACACTGTTGTATCCACACTGTCCCTAACGAGCAGTCATTCCTATGGCACCCACTTTTCAGTATATAATTAGGTAACAAAATATAAAAGGTTCTATAGAATTATTGATTAAGAAGAAGAAATATAACAATTACTAAATAATTAAACAACAGTAATTTAATATTGACAAAGATGGTGGCCACTAACAACTCTCTTTGTACAGCATCAACCCAGGGTGGCTGGTGTTGAGCTTAGAATCTCTCAGAGAAAGAAAACTACGGAAAAACAAAACTACTGTTACTGGGCTGGATAAATTATTACTAAATCTTGAGGTAAGGAACAACTTTTCCTATATACAAGTCTTTAAATGCCAGTTTAGGTGGACGAAAAATGATATAGTAGTGTATTTTCTTCGATTTGACTTCATTTTAAAAATTGTCCACGCGTTATCTCTCACAGCATCTGATACGTAGAAGGACTCACAGTAACGTGAGCATAAAAATATAGTCTAAGTTTCTTCTCTCAATAAAGATTTCATCAAACAATGTGATATTATATTGTTTATTTACTTTTATAAACACAGGCAGTATGCTCTCAGTAGAGTGACTCAGAATGGACTAAAAATAGAATAAGATGGAGCCTGGTGGGGGTGAGGCATATCCAGTGTTGATTTAGAAGACCCGATGAACAATGGAGAGGTTAATGTAAATATACGCCGGCTAGGAAGGGCGGCCACGTTCCCTTGGGTAGTGAAAAGCGGGGGGACCTTTTCTCAGTTAAAAAAAAAAAGGGGGAGGACTTTTTTTTAAGCCGAAATAGGGAGGACCATTTTTTTCAGTTGGTACAGGGAGACATTTTCTCAACAAAAACAGGGGAGTGGGGGGACTTTTTATCGGCCAAAACAGGGGAACGTTCGTAGGAGTGGTTAAAACAGGAGTGCGTTCCCTCGGGTGGATATCATGTCTAGAAGTCTAAGGCGATGCAATAGGCACAACGAAGTCCGTAGATATCTTCTTATTATTATCTGCCGTTACATAGAGCATCTACAAGGACTAATAAACAACTTCCATTACTAAGCCACTATACCGAGCCACTAAGCCACTAAATCGAGCCACTAAGCCACTAAATCGAGCCACTAAGTCACTATACCGAGCCACTAAGCAACTATATCGAATCACTAAGCCACTATACCGAGTCACTATGCCCTTAAGCCACTAACCTACCATGCCGAGCCACTAAACTACTAAAAGTAGAGTACAAGCACAAATTCAATAAGCCACTCTCAATACAGAACCATTAGGTCACTACACCAAGCCACCAGGACAGCGCCGCTTCCAATAACACGACATACTCACTTACGCCAATAAGCCACTGCCAGTACAACCACAAGGAAACTAAGCCACACGCAACATAGAGCCACTAAGCCACTTTCATCACAAAGCCAAAAAGCCACTATCTGTACAAGCAAAATCCCATTAGAAACAGACCCACAAAGCCGCTATTAACATACTCCATAAGCCACTAACAGTAAAAGCACAATGCCACAAAGCCACTCGCAACAGAGCCATAAAGTCAATTATTAACACAGCAATAAAGCCACTTTCAACACATTACCAATAAGCCAGTACAAGCACAAGGCCACTAAGCCACTCGCAGCACAGAGCAACTAGCCAATTTGAACACAGAGGTACTTTCAATACAAAGCCACTACTTGTACGAACCAGCACAGAGCAACCAAGCCACTGCGAGGACCAATACAGAGCCTCTACGCCCCTATTAACGAAAAGCCACTTAACCACTATCAACACAAAGCCACTACTAGTACCTACACAGCTCTACTACCGGCGCCAACACAGCCACTAAGCCACTACCAGTAAAGATCCATAAAGCCATTATCAGTACCAACACTGAGCTTCTACCTACACAGCGCCACTAAGCCACTACCATCATAGAGCCACTAAGCCTTTCCAGTACCTACACAGAGCCACTAAGCCTTACCAGTACCTACATAGAGCCACTACCAAAACAATACCACTAAGCCACTACCAGTACAGAGCCACAAAGCCACTACCAACAGTACCGGGCGATGGTAGGGCACCACTTACCGAAGGTGGTGACAGTAAGGAGAGGTCGTACTGGTGAATCAGCCGGGACAACCTGGTGACGACTCGTGCTCCCCGCATCTGTACCGGGGTGTACTGGTTAGCCGGGTCAAACGTTGGTAGGTGGACAGTGGCCGGAGCGGTTAGTCGGGTGAGGGGATGGTTAGGTGGGTGAAGGGGGGTTAGGTGGGTGAGTTGGGGGTGAGGGGTATGGGTGGTTAGATTGTCAACTGAGGTGGGCGTGGTTAGTGGGCGTGTACGTGATTTGGGATGTACACATTGTCAGGGGTGTGCATGTTGCGTCAGGGGTGAACATGTTGCGTCAGGGGTGAACATGTTGAGTCAGGGGTGAACAAGTTGAGTCAGGGGTGAACATGTTGCGTAAGGGGGTGATCAAGTTGCGTCAAGGGGGTGATCAAGTTGCGTCAGGGGTGAACAGAGTCAAGATAGCAAAAAAAGTAAGACAAGACATGAGTATAAATATTTAAGATACAAGAGAAACTTAGAAATATAGAACCTTATTATATAGATATGCTAGAATTAGTGTGTATGTGTGTGTGTGTGTGTGTGTGTGTGTGTGTGTGTGTGTGTGTGATAAGGGGGTCAATGTGGCCAAAATTAAAACACCGGACCAGGACCCTGAACTAGACCCAAGTTTAACCCTTCAAATTGCGAGTTTGATTAGGTCAAGTAAGGTTAAAGACAGGGTTAGGTGAGGTTAGGTCATGTTTCGAGTTCAGGTCCGGAAATTGGCGAGTGTCAAAAAAAAAAAAAAAAATTTACGGAGGACCAAAATCTCAAATGTTCTCAACTTAACTGGAGGTCTGATAAAACTGAAACATTTAAAAATTACACCAAAAATAACATAAATTTTACTGAGATTCTACCATGACTAGATACTGTCATTACTAGTTTAGGAGACAGAAGAAAAAAATTACATTACGAATATAACATTTGGGAATTTGGTCTCCGGTTGAGTTTATTCCTGTCATCTGTTACTGGAACCTAAAGTAGATAGTTTTAATGGTTAGAGAAGTTGAGAGAGTATTGAGTGTCCATAGGTGATAATTATTAAAAAGGTTAGACGTGGATAGGGTGGATAGATGATGTCAAGTTGCTGTCGCCGTATAGTGTGGATTGGTGGGATAGATCCGCTTTTGTTTTGTCGGATACGTGTGTGTGTGTGTGTGTGTGTGTGTGTGTGTGTGTGTGTGTGTGTTTGTGTATCAAAAATTATTCTTTTACTGTAATGAGAAAGACTAATAGATGTCTCTTTCATATTATATTAGGATGTATTCGTGTATATACCAACAGACAGACACACAAGACAGACGAACAGACAAATCTACAGATACACAAACACCTAAACACCGTACACATACAACAATAACATATATACGAACTTACACACACATTAAAATACACTGCACAAATTCATAAATGACACACACACACACACACACACACACACACACACACAGTTTGGTAGGTAATATCTTTAAATACTCCTGTACAGTATTTCTATAGCCTTCAATCTGTGGGGAGTAAACAAGTACCTGGATTCAGGGGATTAATCCGCTTTCGACTTTATTAAAACACCTACAGAGTGAGTCGTGAATGTTTACCGTAAAAGAACTCAGTAATTCTTAAATATTTACTAGGAAAAAAAAGAGAGAGCAATTCCTGAATATATACTCCTGTAAAATACGCATTTAGTCATCAATCACGATTAAAAATAACACAAAAAACGCTAAATATACATTCACGGATATCAAGGAGGGCGAGGTCATTATGAGGGCGAGGTCACGTATGAGGGCGAGGTCACGTATGAGGGCGAGGTCACGTATGAGGGCGAGGTCATATAGCCGTGGCTAGAGTGGTGACGTCAGCGGCACTCACGTGAGGAGATTGCGGGAGATGTGATTAAAGAGGCGGAAAATAACCAACTCTTGCCTGAGATTATTGCCTCTGGCCTCCTCGGCTGGCAGGAGAGAGTGGAGGGGGGCTTGGGAGCCTTGGCAGGGGAGCCTTGCTGGGGGGTGTGAAGGGGTTTTGGCTTCTGCCGTGATCAGTTTGTTTACATGCGTATCTTCAAGGGGTCTGAGGATCCCATGAAGTACTTCCGGGGATTGTGAGGACCAAGAGAGCGCTTGAGAGGGAGACGGGATTCTGTTATAATGATTTTGTTTATCTAGGTACTTGTAAGGTTTTGAGGATCATTCGGGGTATATTCCAGGGGTTTGAGGATCCCTCTCAGTATATTCAAGGACACTGAGGATCCATCTAAGAATATTCTAAGCATATTCAGGGGAGTAAGGATCCCTCAAGTTATATTCAGAGGTGTAAGGATCCCTCTAGTTATATTCAGGGGAGTAAGGATCCCTCTAGTTATATTCAGGGGAGTAAGGATCCCTCAAGTTATATTCAGCGGTGTAAGGATCCCTCTAGTTATATTCAGCGGTGTAAGGATCCCTCTAGTTATATTCAGGGGTGTAAGGATCCCGCTAGTTATATTCAATAAGTCTTAGGATTACGTAAGTGTGTCATAGAGAGCATGTCACGTACAGCACTGAAGGCAGAGTCACCAACATTTAGCCACTCCCTCATAAATGGTGAAATTCAGTTACGAGCAATTCACGTAGCAATTTCGAAGCCACTAATACAATAATTTCTATGAGCAGTTTGGGAGATGACGGACACGGTTATAAAACAGAAATAATCACAAGTTATCTATGTATTAAGGGATTAAGTCATAAATCTTGTATGTAATTTTACGCTAGTGAGTTTAGGTATATTCTGATGAATTATTTTAGTCATGGAAATGGAGAAATTAAGAAAATTCAATATAACCTGTATATAGAGAAGACTATACAGGTAAGCATTAATACAAACTATAAGTGAATCCCATCATTACTCACCTAATTTATGCATTGTCCGGTTGATAGTGAAGAGCGTAATAAATACAATCTACTTTTCTAACATATATCAGGTATTATCCATTTAGTTATGTCAGTAAATATAAAAAGTTTTCCCTTTTGGCATGAACATGTAACTTCTTTTCACTCAACCTCATCTGGACTTCCCGGGATCATGCTGCCCTCTGTAAGAACTCCTCACGCGCGCGCTTGATACTGGAGTAAGTTTGTGCTCCATTTACCATAATACAAAATTCATAAATTGCCCTGAGCATTTCCGGAATGACCCGGTGCTCTGAAAACGTATATATGATCCATTTGTGTTTATAATTTTACAAACGATTGGGCTTTATCGTCAGGGATATTGGACCTCCCTAACTGGTGTGGAGTATGGTGGTGAATGGAGCACAAACCTATTTCATCACTGCTGAACGTTTTAGGAATTTATACACGGCACAGCAGAATTCCAGAAAAGCGCAGACTCTGATATCACGCACAATACGGATAGAATTAAATCAGCCTAACGTAAGTTAATTTCAACTAGCCACTCCCGTTTAATACAAATGTCAAATTGATCTGACCTGACCTGGCCTGACCTCCAGCCAGCCACCATGCCCAGTATAGGAATGGGTTGATACTTGGTCTTCTTAAATTGCGTTTTTCAGGAATTCAGTCATAAGATTCTTTGCACTGTAGTGTCAACTGCGCACAATCACAGCTGCCTGCGTGTAACGGCAAACACACTCCATGCTGGTACAATGGATTCTTATCCAGAGATGGGAACAACTGTGTCATGAAGGTCTACAATGGAGCGGCCCCTTGACTGATTCCTACACTAGGGTGACCCTTGGCGGAGCCTACACTAGTGACCCTTGACGAAGCCTTACACCAGAGTGACTCTTGATGGTTCTTTAGACGACTATCATTTTTTTCTTTCCGTCATTTCGTTAAAACATTAACGTATTATATACAATGGGTAATAATACGTTAAGGTTAGCCTTCAATAACGTCTGAAGCCACTTTTAAAGAAAATGTGTTATCACCAACACATTAAAGAAAATGTAACATCAAAAACTAACAGGGGAACTAAACAATCATGGCACCTCCACTCGTAATGATGGAATACAACACTTTTTAATTTAATATTAGAGTTGCATTAAGGGTAAATTGATTCTCCATCTGATAAATAAACAAAACAAAAACAATTAACTCTGGAATAATGGAAGGCAGTATCGAACCAACACTAACTTGAGGACACTTGTCTATAGGAGATAAATGTTTTCTTGTCCCATTAGGAGGCCACTAGTTTACGGGGTACATGGTGTTTGTAATATAATTTGTATTAGTTTTTCTGTCCTGAACACTTATTATAAGCTTCCTCGCTCTGACGCCATTGTTCCTTTGTTTACATCCGGGACTTTGATCCACAGGAACGATTGGAAAAACTCACCCAATATACTGCTATATTATTTGATTTAACGTCAATAAAACGAAGTAATCTAGCCTATCTAACCCCTCTATCCCAGGTTAGGTTATGTTAGACTAAACTGGTTCATTTTATAAACGATGAATAATTAATATTTTGCGGTAGCTGGTAAGTTGCTCCTCTAAGCAAGAGTCGGGGTGTATGAGCGGTGCCAAACCTACCCAGCCTAAAATAATAGTTATCACCTATAAAAAATAAATAATCCTGTAGGTGAAGAACTAACGAAGTGTTCCTGTGGCTAGAACGCAGTTACTATGGACCCCAGATGCAAACAGAGCAGCACTGTCTTCACTATAGCGCGCGTATATTAGTGTTCAGGACGTTAACAAATATTAAAACAATATTACGAAAAAACGTATAACTCATAAAATTTTGGTCCTGTGGTGAGGTATGAGAGCATTTATCTTCTATAGAGAAATGTCCTCAAGCTGGGGGTTTAGATGCGGTACGTGTCATGTCTCCCACTTGGGCGGAAAGTGGAGACGAAGGAAGAGATGGAAAAAAAAATAATAATAATGCGCGGGTGAGACGTTAACGTTAAATCTAATATATTATGAGAACTATGGATACACTATTGAATGTTTAGGAGGAAGAAAAGAAGTGACAGGGAGAGATCAGACCCCCATGCCACTGACCCTCCCAAACCACTTAACCTAAACAGGTCAGCACTAAATAACAAG